TTGCACCTGTTCCACCACACCTAGGCAGAGAAGGCCCCCAAGCTTGAAGAAAGTTCGTTAAACAGCTAAAAACTGCACTTCAGTGACCACACTTCCGTGCAGCTTGTCAGAGATTACCTCTGCCTGGAATTTTAGCTCCATAGCCTAGAGTCATGCCTGGTCTGAACCGCTGACCACAGAAGTCAAGTGGGATGACAGACCAGTAAAGCTGGTGTGGGGGGCAGGGAGGGCTTGCCAGATAAAACACAGGATGCCCAGCTACATTTGAATTTCAGACAAACGAAGCATTTTTAATATTTCAGGAGACATCTTTAAGTAATAAGTTTTTTAGCGTAAATATGTCTCAAATGTCGCGTGGGATATACTTACACTAAAAAATTATTCAGTTATCTGATCTCCAAATGTAACTGGTGTTCTGTATTTTTAATTTCAAAATCTGACAGCCATGGTCTGGGGTGAACCGGGGAGAACTCATTTCATCTAAAGAAATCTACTGGTTGGCAGATCTGGCCAAAGGTGACCACCAAGCAGGTCGCCAGATCTTCTGATTTTTGTAGTTTTTTTTTTTTTTTTTTTTTAATGTGCAACCTGGTGATTTTACAATTCTGGCAACTAATTTCTTGTTTTAATCTAACAACGCCCCATGGAAGGAAGCAAGCAGACCTGTGGGCTACCTTCAGCCTGGGGGCACAGGCTTATACCTTGGCTGTAGAAGGACTTGATTTCTTGACTCTTTATCACAAGCTAAGCCCTGGCTGGGAGAAGGGGCCCACTCGTAACTCACTAAGTCCTCCCAGCAATGGAAGGCATGAAGGGTCATCATCATCACCATGGAGAACATCAGGAAAGCAAGGTCCAGAGAGCAGAAGTTTTCTGGCCCAGTTGGTGACGTAAGTGGCACAGTTGGGGGTTGAAATCAGGCAGCCTTCGCCAGCACCCTTGTGAATACCCACCACCCTGCACCCCTTCTCAGGAGAAAACACCTAACAGATAGCTTCCCGGAGAGCACAATAATAGGAATAAAGTTGGTTCCAGGTACCTCCTTCCAAACGCAATTATGCCACCTCAGCCGGGACTGGAGCAGTAACAGACCATGTGCCGAGCCATATTGGAGCCAAAGACTAAAGGAAAAATCTGCTGTACTGACCCTGCCTTTATTTAAAATGTTGCCATTTTGTTCATCATGGACTTTGAGCATTCATTTAGATTTCATTTCCAAATATTGCACCGAAATACTATTTTTTTTCTCAGTAACTAAGACTTTGGGGTGCCCCCAAAGCAAGTGTCTGTCTCACTGACCTCAGCTGCCCCTTTGGCAGAACAGTATTTGTAGGTTTCTTGAAAACTTTCCAGAGTTTTGAAGTTTCACATGTTTCACACTCAAAGGCGTCCATTACCTCTTTGTTTAAAACGGTGAAAGTCCAGCGATAACTGAAATGTTCGACAGAGGGGAGTTGGTGAAAGAAGTTGCAATATACCAAATGAAAAAATAGTACACACCATGAAAGGGATACTCACAAAGAGGTTTGGGCATGGGTCGGGGAAGGTCATCAAAAAGTCGTGACCACCGGGTGACCCGTGCGCCGGTCCCAGGGAACTCGGGGGCTCCTCGGCCCCTCCCCTGTCCTTGGAATACGGGTTCTGCTTGCCGTCCCTGCTCCCAGGGTCTGCTCCAAGGACATAACCGTGAGATAGTGATGTGATAGTGAGAACACAGGCACGTGACTGAGCCCAGTCAGGGCCTCTTTATAAACTTTTTAGATTTGGCTGGCAGGTGCAACGATCCATTTATCTTGCTACCATTTGTCTCGCCTAACACACGCCTCATGTGTAAAAGTTCCCTCTGCTGGTTAAAACTGCCACCTGTCAACCTGGAGTTGCCTGCCTCTTTTTTCGGTCTCTCCAGGGCCTCGGAATACAAAGGCCGGTCTCAGACGATACCTGGCAAGCTCCCGGGAGGGTCAGCAACCAACAAATGACAAATAATCATGTAGAGTGAAAAACAACAAGGAAATAAAATTATACTTTGCAGCAGGATCTCAACCAGGCTTTAAAAAATAGAAGGAAACACAGAAAACCTTGGCGGGCAGGGAAAAACAGCAAAAAAGTAACCCCGGGTTTCCCTGAGGGAGACTGCAGGTGATTATTTTTTCTGTCTTCTTTTTTTTTTTTTTAATTTTTTTTTCAACGTTTTTATTTATTTATGGGACAGACAGAGACAGAGCATGAACGGGGGAGGGGCAGAGAGAGAGGGAGACACAGAATCGGAAACAGGCTCCAGGCTCCGAGCCATCAGCCCAGAGCCCGACGCGGGGCTCGAACTCACAGACCGTGAGATCGTGACCTGGCTGAAGTCGGACGCTTAACCGACTGCGCCACCCAGGCGCCCCTCTGTCTTCTTAAAGGTAGTGTAGTACCCTGGGAAACTCAAATGGGAGTTTTGCAATCAGACAACTATGTTTGAACTCCACCTCCAATATACTTTGGGCAATAGCCTCAAATTTTTTCTGCCTCCAACTAGCTACCTCGACAATTTGTCATGAGTCTTTAGGATTGCGTGTGTGTGTGTGTGTGTGTGAGAGAGAGAGAGAGAGAGAGAGAGATGTAAATGCACATGATGCACACACACACACACACACACACACATAAAATGACTTGCACAGTGCTGAATAAAAGAGACAATAAATGGTAGTTTGTCAAACATACTTTTCCAGTAGTTGCCAGATTTTCATAAGAAACAAATATAGGTATTATAATCAGAAGAAAATAAATATGAAAATATTTGGAAAGCCTCTGGTAAAAGAAAAATGCCCTTGGTCGTGTTAGGTTGGCTCGTGTTAGGTATCGTTTAGCCTTTTCACAGGCTACACATTCTGGAGAGAATGGGCCACATTTGAGGAGCTTCCAGGGACCATGAACAGAAGAAAACGAGGCTGAAAGCAAGCAAGAACCCAGCAAGCCTGCAGCCCAGCTCTTCTTTACAAGAAATGTTACCTCATTCTGTTTCACAGCAAGTAGGTGCTTTGCTCCCGCCCCCACCCTCACCCCCACCCCACACATACACACATCAATCTAGGTGATGCTTTCTACTGAACTACCAGAATAATCCAAAATAGAATTCACCTGCTCATCTCACGCCAGCTGCTCTTTCAACATATAGGTCCCTGAGCCACAGGAGGAAAGAAGAAAGACGGAGCATTTAGAAATTTAAAATGAGGATGGAGGCGTGCCCGGGTGGCGCAGTGGGTTGAGCGTCCCACTTCGGCTCAGGTCATGATCTCACAGTTCGTGAGTTCGAGTCCTGCGTCAGGCTCTGTGCTGACAGCTCGGAGCCTGGAGCCTGCTTTGCATTCTGTGTGTGTGTCTCTCTCTGCTCCTTCCCTGCTCACACACTGCCTCTCTCTCTCAAAAATAAATAAAGATTTTTAAAAATTAAAAAAAAAATTTTTTTAATGAGGATGGAAATGAGAACTCACCAGAAAATGACATTTTCCCATTATTGGGAGAGTTCCACTACGCCCACACCCAATGATGACCAAGGGGTCAGTAGACCAGGAATCACAAATGACAGGCTGAGACCCAAATCCAGCTCACTGCCTATTCTTCTTGTAAATAAAGTTTTATTGGAACACAACCACGACCACTCACTTGCTTACTGCCTAGAGCTGCTTTCTCTCTATGCTGGCAGAGCTGAGTCATGGCAACAGAGACAGAGCAACCTTCAAAGCCAAAAAATATTTACTATCTGGCCCTTTATAGAAAATGTTTGCTGACCCCTACACTAAACCAGTGAATGAATTAACAAAGCATACTGTAAATGCTTTCATTATTTGGTGGCTTAGCAATAAACTGAACGCATCAAGAAATCCATCCCTCCTGAAAAGATTGGAGAGGTCAAGAAAACACGAAGGACCAGACCAGAGGGGTAGACTAAATGACAATGAAGAGTGAGGTTTCATGGGGGAAAATGAGAATCCAGGTGTTAAGCATCCTAATCTCAACATACAGGATCCAGCTGACCATAAGGAGAAATCTCTCCTAGAGAGTTAAACTTTTTATTTTTAAAGGATTCCTAGGCCCTCATTAACTTGGACACATCTTTCATGTAGTGATTCACAGTGAATGAAATTGGGGAAAACCGGTATTCAGATACATTTTTACAATGTTTCAGACAAACACTATAGATCATTCTCTATTCATCCTTCTTCTTTATATCGATCACAAATTCATTTCTGCACTCAGAATGTTCTTACTTTGCTTGGAAGCGTTCATAATATTTGTGCACTATCAGTGTTGCTCTTATATTCAAATATTTGACTTTTTGCACTATATTTCAAACACTGCATCCAAATGAACTACTTTAATTTTCTCAATGGTCAGCTAAAATCAAGTCACTTTCCCCTTTTTTCTGGACCCTGAACTTGCCTTCGAAGTCAAAGGTGTCGACTTCTCACTGTCAAAGCTGAATTTCTTGGTGTTAAGAAAAAGAAATCTTATTAGGGCAAACTTATTTATTCTGATGCAGGGGTAAGTATTTTGACATGCTGAGTGAGGTGTGTCTAATTCCTGGCAATTTATTCCCATCTCATGGCTTTTCTCCATTCAAAGTTTATTCTTTTTATAAATAAAAAGATTTAACTTGGCATATCTTGAGATACGCATGGAGATGGGCAGATCTTGCCCCCAGCTAGGTTTATAGTAGAGGGTCTGAAGAGCAAAGGCGTCAAGGTCCAGAAAAGAAAGAAAGTTTGTTAAAAAATTACAAAAGAGGGGCGCCTGGGTGGCGCAGTCGGTTGAGCGTCCGACTTCAGCCAGGTCGTGATCTCGCGGTCCGGGAGTTCGAGCCCCGCGTCGGGCTCTGGGCTGACGGCTCAGAGCCTGGAGCCTGTTTCCGATTCGGTGTCTCCCTCTCTCTCTGCCCCTCCCCCGTTCATGCTCTGTCTCTCTCTGTCCCAAAAATAAATTTAAAAATAATAATAATAATAAATAAATAAATAAAATAAAAAATTACAAAAGAATATATGGTTAGGTAGAGCAAGTTTTCCCCACCCAATTAGAGGTGGAGGAGAAAGAGCCAAGGCAAACAGATTTAGATGCTTGTGAAACTGTAGGTCTCTAGAAAGGAGCCTCAAATCCTAGGCCCACATACAGATCCCAGAATAGCCCCCAAATGGAGGGAAATGATAGAAACCCTAGAGAATTTTGAGGGATCCAAAAGGAGAGGGGACCGGGCTTTGGTCCCTGGGTGAAATCCGAAGGGTTTAAGGTTTGTGGAGAGAGTTCAGTTGGTGTGAAAGCAGTGGGAAAATGACTAGGCAAATCCCCAATCAGATGGGCCTGGGAAGGCTCTCATCTGCTTCTTCACGCCGGTGTGCCCAGGATGGTTTGCTTTTCCTCCGTGGGGCCAGGAATGATGCAGATATAGCCAACAGAGCTGTCTGGGTCAGGACAAGCAACGTAGGAGTAATATGTGTGGACCACACAACACTAAACACTCCATCAGTGGACCGTAAAGTCAACGCGCTGACCCCACCCCAACCATCCACTGACTCTCTAGTCCTACTTAAGCGCCTTTAGAATGTACATTTCCAGGATTTATGGGGTCGCATTCATATGTCAAAGTCCTAATGCCCAGCCCCTCAGAATGTGACTATATTGGAAATAGGGTTCTTTCAAGTAGTGATTAAGTTAAAATGGGGCTTAAGTGATTAAGTTGGGCGGGCCCTAATCCAAAACCATCGCTTTCTTTATTTAAAAAAAAAAAATTTTTTTTTGGACACACAGAGAGACACTGGGGACACATGAATAGAGAAAAGACCATGTCGGACCACAGGGAGAAGACGGCCGTCTGCACACCAAGCGGGGAGAGGCCTCAGAAGAAACCGAACCTGGAGACATCTTGATCTTGGACTTCCAGCCTCCATAATTGTGAGAAAATTAAGAAACAAAAGTTTCTTTCCTGCTCATGAAAAACCAAGTACATGTCCAGGCAACCCCCTGAGGCAGAAGACCCCCTTGTGGTAACCTGGCATTCAAGGTACTTCAGTTTTGTGGCATTTATGTAACAACCTATCCCTCCACGATTGAAAGAAGAGAAAGAAAGAACACGGACAACTGCACAGAAACTCCTAAATGCTTCTTCCCAGAAGTGACCGGTTCCTGCTCCCATTTCATTGGCCAAAAACAGTCCTCTGGTCACACCTACCTTCAAGGAGGTGGGGAGGTGCTGTCCTCCTGTTCACTCAGGAGGAGAGAAGTGGAGTAGTGGTAAGAAATAACATCTGCCATAAATGTGGTGGCCTACATTGCCTGGAATCAACCAAAAATTAAGTAACTAATTGCCCGCCTCATGATGGAACAGGGGCTCGGAAGAGGAAATCAATTCAGTCCAGAAAAAATAAAGCAACGGTTACGTTCACACCTGAATCTGCTACCTGTGAATTCAGGATTGCTAATAAGAGATGAAAGCGAAGACCTTTAGAATTGCAGAATTACAAAATTTTGATTTCGAACCACTATTGCCTTGGTAGTTCTATATAACAAAAAGCCACAAAGCCCAGTGGCTGAAAGCAGTACCCATTTGCGTCCACTCACAAGTCTGTAGGTTGGCTTAGTGTATCTTCTGGATGGGCCAGGCCCACCTAATGACACCTGAGCTCACTTATTCCTCTTGGGAAGCTAGCAGATTGCTTGGGGCTGGCGGGTCTAGGACAGCCTCTGGAGAAATGGCTCCGCTCTCCTCTGTGTGGATTTTCATCCTCGGGCAGGTCAGTCCAGGCTTGTCTCATGGTTGGGTTCTGAGAAATTGGAAAAAGAGACGAGAGAGAGAGAGAGCGAGGGGGGACCAGCTGACTTGGAAACCGCATCCCATCAGTTGTGCCACATTCTCAAACCCACATCTGTAATTGGTTCCCAGGTCAAATTCATGTTGATGCTGCTGGTCTGAGGGGACTTTGAGAAGTCCTACGATAGCCTCCCTTGTGACCTAGGACAAGCTGAAGCCAGGAAAGAATTACCTAGCTTACATATCACGTCTGGGCCGGGGCACGAATCTAGTCTCCCTCTCCAGCCGGGGCTTTCTTGCCCTGACACCTTGCTCAACTCTGTGAGTAACCACCCTGCCTTTGTCCGCCTCTGCCTCGAATACTGTCATCATTTTTATTATCATCATTAGTAATGATTAAGTGGACTGAGGCATGACAAGGTGTTTAATGTTCTGTCCAAGGCATGTTAAAAGCTCTGGGCCCGTCTGAGAGGCAAAGTCTCAGTCATAGGCAGACAGGCAGTACTTGGGCTGAGAAACCCCCATAATGCAACTCTGAAATTAAGCAGTCCCTGTCAACTAAACCATTAATCTACACAAGAGGTCAAATGTGTCCCCATGAATCACACGTAAGCCCAGTGTTCCCAGGTGAGAACTCAGCCAGTCCATCCACATAGTCCCCAATCTAGACAGATGGTTTTTATTATGCCTCTTGTTGGCCACCACAAGGGACAATCTCTCTAAAAGTGACATGATATTCATTTCTCCACGTACCCATGCTACATAGCAGATTCTCCTAATTATTCCCTCTGTGTGTACGCCTTATTCTCAGACCATGCTACCTTTATGGAAACCCCTCACTGAGCACATTCATGTTGTGGCCTTGGCTTTTCTTGAATGATGCTACCAGGTATAATCCCGTGAAAATCACCACCCTGTTTGTTACTTTAATTCGTCGATCGCCCCCATTCCCTTACGTGAGATGCCTTCCCAAATTAAGGTTTATGAAATGCTTTGCATCTCCTGTGGACTGACAATACTTTGGGTTTTCTTAGAATGAGCCTTTTTTTCTTTGGCTACCAGGAAGCTCAGAGCCAAATATAAAACACCATTGCAGCTGAGCTTGGCAACATGCTTCCTACATATACTTCTTTAATATGTTCTTGATTTAATATTTGCTATTTTCCCTGACCCTGAATTTCTGTGTTTACAGCCTTTTATGACTTCATTTTATTCACTACTTCGTGTGTGCAATATGTGGTAATATACAACACATTCCTTTTAGGACAAAGCAGGTTATAAGTAGTAAATTTCCCCTATTCCCAATAAATCAGGCATTGGTTAGATACCACCTAGCAAACTTAAACTCACAATTAAATTTCTTGGTATGTGTAGAAGCACAGAGGAAGGAGTGTGGGAGGAAATAAAAGACAGCTCTGTTTGGGGGAAGGAAAAAAAAATCTCAAGAAATAAAGTTTTATTGCAGCGGACGCAGAAAGTTTAGAAAAGCAAGAAATCAGAATGGGAAGTAACGTGGTGTGGCTTTGAAGCCCCACTCTGCGACAGAGAACTCACTGGTAACGCTCCAGAAATTCCAGCCGGTCCCGGCAGGCTTTGCCCCAGCCAGGGCTCAGCGCTTTCTACGTTCCCCAGCGCTGCCCCTTCCTGCAATTCAGTGCCAGATCCACCCAAAAAACAAAATGTTCTGGTTAAAAAGCACTGTGCAGTGTTATATGACCCAGGTGCAAGATTTATGAAGTGCTTATGAGGTTAATCGGGAACAGACTCAGAGGAAAAAGGAAAGAAGTTAAAAACAAACACCTTTATTCTCACTTTAACAAAATCCAAAGCAGAATGAGAGGGTTGTTTTTTTGTTTGTTTGTTTTTTTGGTCAAAATAATACCTTAGATGATTTTGCATGGACAAAGGGAGTATTTTAAGCACTGGATGCTCATATGCCGGTTCCCTTTTACGTGCAAACAGTGACCACAGATCCAGAAGGTCGAGTAGCCCATGATTGGGGAATCATCTAAAAATACTTATACGCTTCTTGGACCATTCAGTATGCAGACCTTTCGGACATGTTTCTTCCTAACCCTCACTCTGCTGCTATTTCCCGGAAGATGGGTAGATGATGACAGTCATAAAGTGATGTCACCAGCGTGGGGCGTCTCTCAAGGCTCTGGAAAGAACACAAGTGCAAGCTGGAGGCTAGAGGAGGAGCGGGGAGGCCAGGTCATGCTTTCAGTGGGAAGAGTGAGTACAAACACACCCAGGGCTGGTCAGCCAACTTCTTCCTTGTCATGTTCCAATCCCTTTCGGCTCATCCCGGCTCGGGGGACGCAGAATCACCGAGCAAGAAGCGATCGGCTTTCCCTTTCTGATTGAAAAGTCATTTTTGAAGCATTTCATTAAGAAATGGTAGAGGAAACCTCAACTCTCATGAAACAGGACAGCAAGGGCTTAAGACCTTCTCATCATGAGAAACGCTGCGGCCAGAGTCACTCAGATGTAAATTTAAAGGTCAGTTCTTCACCAAGGAGGCTTTGTAACAGTTTGGAAAAACGTGACCGTGACGCTGCCCGAAGCCAGCTCGGGATCCTCGCTGCTTGGTCAGCAGCTTCTGTAGCTCTCGGCTTCAGGTAAGAGAGTGGCATTTCTTGGGACAAACGCCTCTCTTCGTCCTCACGGTTTAGACTCTTTCCACACTTCATACCAGAAAAGGGTTAACTCTATCTTCCCCTCCACCGGAGCCCCAGGTTCATCTAAGCCCAACAGGCCCAGGTTGGCTAATTCCTAGAGGCGCCTTCCAAGCACAACCCCTCCCAGGAGCTTTCTCAAATGCCCTCTTCATCTCTCCCCACAGGCTGCCAGGAGCCATTTCTCCCCTGTCTGGGTTGTTAAGCCCCAACCTGCCTGTAACACTCGCTTGATGTGCCGGTATGTTGTCTGCGTGTGCAGGTACAGAGGAGAGGAAGTGGGTGCAGGCAAGCAAGGGCGAAGGCGGGTGCCAGTCTTGCCTCCAAATATTTACAACACATAATGATAGTTATTGACTTAATATTGAACATTTATGCTGACACCTAAGAGCTGAGGACACCGGTGCAGAAGCCAAGAAGTCTGCTCTTGGAGGCTTATAAAACTATCAGAGGGGGGTAGGCATTAAATCAAGTACTCAATATGTTATTTGCAAGTGTAAGAAGTGTTTTTCAGGAAGAACAAAACCCTGGAGAATGTGTCACAGAAGCTGATCTAGTCTTCCGATGGAGGTCAAAGAAGACCACCTTCAGGAAGTACTAGATGAACAGGTGTTGGGTGGTCAAGGGAGAGAAAGGAATGTTTGCGAGAGCAAAGTAGCATGCACAAAGGCCCTGAGGCAGGCAGCATGGAGACGGATTTTTTTTTTTTTAAGACTTCAAAGACCAGCAGCACTGAAGCAAAGAGAAACCAGTAGAGGCTACATCGAGGTTCCAGATTCATGCAACACATTTCTCAAAAGCAATTGGGAGTCACAGAAAGTTTTGATAACTGATGTGGTGTGATTACTGATAAGAAAACCAACTGCAGGATTTTATTTGTTTTTTTTCATGTTTATTTATTTTTGAGAGAGAGAGAGACAAAGTGGAAGCAGGGAAGGGGCTCAGAGAGAGGGAGACACAGAATCCAAAGCAGGTTCCAGGCTGTGAGCTGTCAGCACAGAGCCCGACATGGGACTCGAACTCACGAACTGTGAGATCATGACCTGAGCCGAAGCCTGATGCTTAACAGACTGAGCCACTCAGGTGCCCCTCAACTGCAGGATTTTAAATGGCATTGAACCCAATCTATAGAGATACTCACTTCCTATTTCCTATTCTTCGCCTTGCTTTATGTGCCTGGGAGTTCTCCCCCCTTCCTGCTATTAGAGTATCTATTCATTAGTTTATCACTTGTATTTGTCTTACTAGAATCTGAGCCCCAAAAGGTGGGCCCCTTGTCTTGTTCCCTGCTTTAACACCAGTGCCCCAAGTCCTGGCCCCCAGTGGGCACTCAGTGACAATGGGTTGCAAACAAATTAGTAGAGAAGAGGTCAAATGGAGAATAGGTTGAATTCAGGACATCCATTCAGGAGGTGATACGTACTGAGTCAAACAGGATTTGATTTTTTTAAAAAAGATGATTCATATGACAAACTTCAGTCTTACTTTACCGTGTGCCAAGTACAGGGCTGGGACCTAGAGATGAAGCGAATTTTTTAAAAAATAAGATTCCTGGGACGCCTGGGTACCTCAGTCAGTTGAGCATCTGACTCTTGATTTCGGCTCAGGTCATGATCTCACAGTTCGCGGGTTCAAGCCCTGCATTGGGCTCTGCCCGGACAGTGTAGAGCCTGCTGGGAGTTCTCTCTCTCCCTCTCTCAATGCCCCCCCCCCCCCAACTTGTGCATGTGCTCACTCTCTCTCTGTCTCTCTCAAGATAAATAAACTTTAAAAAATAATAAAGATTGGGGCGCCTGGGTGGCGCAGTCGGTTAAGTGTCCGACTTCAGCCAGGTCACGATCTCGCGGTCCGTGAGTTCGAGCCCCGCGTCGGGCTCTGGCCTGATGGCTCGGAGCCTGGAGCCTGTTTCTGATTCTGTGTCTCCCTCTCTCTCTGACCCTCCCCCGTTCATGCTCTGTCTCTCTCTGTCCCAAAAATGGATAAACGTTGAAAAAAAAAATTTTTTTTTTAAAAATAATAAAGATAAAAATAACAAGTAAGATTCCCATTACAACAGAGTTTGCAACCTAGGAATTTATTACCTGACGTAATAGGACAAAACACAGGAAATGACAGCTTCCATTAACTGAATACCAGACACAGGCCATGCTGTCACACACATTCACCCCTTTAACACGATGCATATATCAGTTTCATCGCGACTTTACAGGAGGAGAAACCAAAGCACGGAGGGGAGGGCCCCTGCATGATGGCGAGGGGACTTGGCGTTAGGATCATACGGTTCCAGAAGCCATGCCGTCACCCCTGACCTCTTCCTGCCTCCCCGATGCCACCACTAGAGTATCTAGCATTAACCAGGCACCTGTTGGCCCAGCACTTCATATGGATTGTCTCATTTAATTTTCCCCAAAACTTCAATCCCAAAGTATAACTATTACTATATCAGTAAGGATTCTTTTTTTTTTTTTTTTTTTTTGGTCAGATTTAAAGGACTGAACTTCAATTTAAACTGGATTACTGAAAAGAAAACTTAAGGAAATGCTTTAAGAATGACTTTCAAAGAGAAATTACTGGTTTAAAAAACTGGAAAGTCCCCACATACCACAGGCTTCAGGCAGGGATGGACAGAGAATCTCAAACAGGGTGAAGACTCCGTCCGCCTCTCGATCAGCCTTCGGCAATACTGGCTGCCCTCTTGGCCACGCTCCGTCCACTTGGTGCTCCCAGCAGGTCTTGGGTTACAGAAGGCCCATCCGCTTCAGGTTCAGTGGGAAGATGGGTCTCCTTTCTTGTCAACATCGGGATGAAAGTTCCAGAGTCGTATCCCGCTGTCCCAGCTCGGTTCGAGTACACACACCTCTAAACCGGTCACTGAGATGGACCGGTTGGTCAGGCCTGGATGCAGGTGATAACAACACATCACGGTGACCAGCGGGGGGAGCTGATGATCTCATCCCCCCAGGTCCCAAGAGCCCTGGAACAGGGATGGCGTCCCAGCCAAACCACAGAGAGAAGAGGGAACAGCCGTTCCAGGAGAAAACGGACTTTGTCACCAGCTGAAGGGGACAGGATATATGGGTCAGGTAAAAGCAACAGAGGCCTCTTGCACATACTGTCCCATTTCACGAATGAGGAATACAGAACTCCTAAAGGAGTCAGTTTGCTTGAGGCCACATAGGTAACAAGCGGCTATGGAAATCCAAGTGGCCGAAGCCCAGATATAGGTCACTTCATCCTCTACATACCTGCCTACCCAGGTATCTCTGTGTCTAGCAGATTTTTTAAGAAAGAAAGTAACCTCTATGATTGCTTAAAAGATCAGAAAATCACCAAATATTAGAGCAAGCAGTAATCTTTTAAGTCACCTGGTTCAGAGTTTCAAAGATGAATGAGGCCCAGAGATGTTAAGTAACTCACTTAAGGACATACTGCAACCTAGACTTGAATATAGGTTATTTTTTCAACCCTTTATTCAGCAAATACTTACTGTATGCCTGTGTTTTCCCATCACTAGGCTATGTGCTAAGGACACAGACTTAAGTAAAGCATCTTTGCTGTTAGAAAGTTTACAGTCTTGCAGATCAACTGAACCTTTTCTCAAAGCTCTTTATCTGTGACATCGAAGTCTCCCTTGAACTACAGTGGTTCTATTCCTACTAGCGATGGTAAATAATAATACTCATTGCTTCATTTGTCACGAATTTACTATGTTTCAAACACCGTCCTGAGTATATGGCATAAGTTAAGCAATTTGATGCCGTTAGGATGCCTTTAAAGACCAAAAAGTGAAACACAACATTGCCAGGCACGGAATTTAGGCACTTTGTAAATTGGGAAACTGATCTGGCTGACATAACAAAGACAAAAATAATAACATAAAGAAAAAAAAAGGTTTGGTTTTTTTTTTTTTTTTCCATGAAACAGCCCAAGCACCAGCATGAGGCCAGATATGGTCGCTCCATGGTAGGAACACAGTCTCCCGTATTTTGTCGATTGTCTTTCTCGACACACAACTTCTCACTGGCTAAGATGGCTGATCCAATTCCCACCACTTCCTTCCACATCTCAACCAGCAGGAAGGGGAAGAAAACCAGAGGAAATATCCCCACTCTTTAAAGGTTTGATTACCACTTCTGCTCACTTTCTCTTGGCCAGTGCCCAGTGCAAAGGAGGCTGGGAAATGTAGTCTTTAGCTAGACTGCCATGTTCCCAGATGAAATCAAGGATCCCATTACTAGCGGGGCAAGGGAACAACTGACATTGGGGACAGCTAGGTCCCTCTGGCTGAGACAGAATGACAGGCAGCAGACATCATGGTCATAAGACTAGATACTCATGGAGGGTAAGGACAAAGCTTTATTTATCCCCACAGCCTCAGGGTCTCATACTATGGGTGCCTCTCACATAATAGGTGCCCCGCATAAAGTGAGAAAACAAAGCAAATGGAGAATTTACACATTTGTTTAAGAAATAAGCCCACACAATGTCTTTCCCCTTACAAGACAGCAGAGCATTCATTACCCAATAGACATTAGTATAATACAGTCATTCCTTGATAAAACTACTCCTTGGACCTGATTGCCTATGTCAAGGACTCCTAGGTGGGGAGATGAATACCTACAAGAGTGTTAGAAAATGTCCAGATTAGATACATGTAGACACACAATGGTAGAGAAATCCCTAAATCATCCTTAGCTGTTTATAAAGAGTATGATCTTGGAAAATAGTCTGAGTTTGTGTTTTCTGAAAACTCGTTTGGTCAATTATAGAAATGGTGAAATTCATAAATTAGCACCTATCTCACATTGTTATTAGTAAGGTTACATTCGAAGTTTTACGTAACATATTTGGCATCATCTCGGGTACATATCTCTACTTATTGAGCTCTCCATTTAATTCTTGTCATTAACAACAGCAATACTAATCAGCAGGGTGCTAAAAAGACCATATACGATAAGAATAGAAAACCAACATTTTTCAGCACTTCCTGTGTGCCAGGCACGTTGCAAAGGACTGCACGAGAAACTGCCTCATTTAATTCGACCCTCGTGAACTAGGTCTTGTCATTTCTCTCATTTTGTGAATAAGAAAACTGAGACAGAAAGGTGTGGCAGGCCACCTCCAAGATGGCCCTACTTCCCGCTACTCGTGGGCTGTGTAATTCCCTCCATGAAGTAACTTGCTTCTAGCAGGAGAATAGGGAAGCACTGAAGAGAAGTGACTAACCTCTGTGATTCCATTACTTAAAGACTCCAACTTCCTTCTTGAGAGCAAACTCCCCCTGCCTTGATGAAGGCGATAAAGTAAGCGGCCATTTTGGAGAGGCCCACGTGGCAAGAAACTAAGGCAGCCTCCAGCCAACAAAGAAGAGAGACCTCAGTGTCACAACCCTAAAGGAACTGAATTCTGCCAAGGATCATACGAGCGAGTTTGGAAATGGGCCCTGCCCAACTAAGCCTTCAGGTATGACTTCAGCCCTGACACCCGTATTACAACCTCATGACAAACCAACGAAGCTGCACCCAGGTTCCTGACTCACAGAAACTCCGCGATAACCGCGTGTTGTTTTAAGCTGCTCAATGTAGCGGTAATCTGTTATAGAGTAGTAGATAACACAAGAGGCTCTAAAGCTTGCCTAAAATAAAAGGAAAAAACACTAGCCTGCAAGGCAAGAGGCCCACTAGATAGCACATCCTTACACGAGCAGGGGTGAACCCTCAGCATTTAGCGCAATGCAGGGAAGGATGGGGAAAACATCTGGGGGCAAAGAGACAGCATGGAAAAAGGCTCCAAGATAAAAGAAGGACATTGAGTCTGCTTTCAAAAGTCCTTCTCAAATTTTTATTGTGCACATGATCACCGGAGATAATCTTTAAGATGCTGATTTTGATTCAATAGGTCTGGGGTGGGGCCTGAGAGTGTGCATTTTTCCAGCTTAAGTACTACCCAGGCCCAACCCTGCTTAGTTTCCGAGATCAGACAAGACCAGGCACGTTCAGGGTGGTATGGCCGTAGACCAGATTTTGCGTTTCTGACAAGCTCCCAGGGTATGCCCGTGCAGCTGGTCCAAGGACCACACTTTGAGTAGCAGGGGCTCAAACCATAGGGATATTTATTGCTTCCTTAACAAAAGAACTGCCAAGTGAGTGGTCCAGAGATAATCAAGCCGCTAGGACTTTTGGCCCAGGGTCTGACATTTGGGAGGACTTGACATAGGTCAACGTATGTATATTCCACAATATAATACAGTGTCACGCGATATAAAATGATCTACGTAACTTACATTTTCTTCACATTTGTTTTTGCATTTCCTTATATTTTCTCACATATGGATATACGTTAACATAACAGCTTGTAATTATTCTATATGTATGGGGTACAGGTTTTAGCAACTGGCACTGCATGGTCACTGATCGGTCCAAAGGGATGAAAGGTGTGAACGGCAGGTACTAACATTTACGTATACGTGTGCGTACACGGGCCCATATGCATGAATTCACACATCAGTGTATACGCAGGAGTGCCTGTGTGTGAGAGAGAGAGAACAAGCGTGTTTCAACTCTAATTTCTTAGGAGCAAAGGAGTTGGGACACTCACACACACATTGCATGTACAAGTTTTCCATCTCTGGCCAAGGCACCAGAGCCCCAGCCCACCGTGACTCCTCCTTATTCACCAGAGAAAGAGTGAAAACCAATGTTGCAAGCCAGATCAGTCCCCAAAATGAGACTGGTTTGGCCTCAGCTCTGTTTTCAATTTGCGCCAAATTTAAGAGTCACTGCCTTTTTTATTTTGGTTTCGTTTATTCATTTTTGAGAAAGAGTGAGACAGAGAGCGAGCAGGGGAGGGGCAGAGAGAGAGACACACACACAGCATCCGAAGTGGGCTCCGGGCTCTGAGCCGTCGGCAGAGAGACGACGCGGGGCTCGAACCCACGAGCCGTGAGATCATGATCCGAGCCCAAGTCGGGCGCTTAACTGCCGAGCCACCCAGGCGCCCCTCCTTGTCATTATTTTCATAAAGAAATTTAACATGAAAATCCAGGCTTCGGGTGTCTCAAAACAAAACAAAACAAAAAACAAAAAAAACAAAAACAAGAAAAGAAACCAGGATCTCGGGGAAGGCTGAACCCACATCCCACACGGCAGCCGCTGGCTTGAGCTGCAGGCCTGTCCCATTCAGAGGCTACGGGACACCAGCTGGCCTGCCTTGACCCCTGGAAGCTTTGGAGCCTGAAACTCCTGCTTTAAAGCTCCTGTCCGTTTGGGGCTATGGCTCTTCCACAGGCTGTGTAGGGGACAGAAAAGTTCGAGCTCCCTTAGCGGGGCTTTGAGTGGCGACTGCCCAGTGCCTCTCCCGTAAGAAGGACCAGCTTCTTTCCACCCTTCCATGCCTGTCTTGGGGGACAGCGGCAGACACCGCCCCCGTACCCCAGATCCCAACACCCTGTGCTGTGTACCGGATGAGGCCCTGCCGTTCTTGGTCACCCCTGACACTGTCTGGTACTCCGCTGACCTTCCCGGCCCCCACGCCACACAACCGTCTTTAAGAAGCCTCCGTGCGTGCACACAGAACCATTGAATGGAGGCACTGCCCTTTCTCCTCCCTTCTCTCCTCTTAATGTTGACAGAGGTTGACCGAAGAACTAACCCCCAGGGGCCGGGCTGTCCTGCTCTGTGTCGATATCTTTACAATACCAGGCCTGGGTGTCAAAACACACACATTCGCCTTTTCATTGTAATCCACCGTAACCCACGTTGAAATGGCTCTTAACTGCTACCTGCAAACACACAGACGCTTGAGATAAAGCAGCGCTAGTTAAAATGCTTATAAATTACACGCGAGGTTAAGCCAGGGCCCACGGGTAAAGTGACAGATATAGATACAAGTTAGGCATCTGGGGGATGCTTCCAGGTCCTAGTGCATCAGTTCTAAAGAGTTTCCCAAACTTACCGGGTAGGAAGGGTCAGCCAGAGTGCTCGTTAAAAATATATATTCCCAAAGGCCCTCCTTTGGAGACTGTCATAAATAGAGAACGGAGCCTGGGCG